AAACAAAAAGCACTTTGATAACATGCAAGTTTCGGTGACACTGATTAGTTTGGGAATTTTAATCAGAATTCGTAAAGCTCACTTTTAATGACTATTATAGTAGTCATAACACAGTCAGAGAAGGGGACCAGATTCCTCTAATAATCATCATTTCATGAGAAATCGATGCACAGTTGATGAGCAATCAAAACACAAATTTAAATTCATTTAAACAGTGTCGATTGAACTGTGCAATTCATCACTCAATTAATCGTTGAATAGCATACCCTAAAGAGTTTGTGTCACCTGTCTCCCTTGACATCTAGTTACCTCCCCTGCAGTTGCTATGGGTACAATGATGATAACAACGGAAGAGAAAGCACTCCAAAAATTTCAGATTCAGAATTAGCGGTACATTCAGACATTAAGATCGCTTAAATATAGAAAAAATAATGAAATGTGATGGCCAAAATTTACACGTAGAGGCAATAGAAATTCTTATCAAATCATCCGAGCAATTATCAAAATTAATTGCTGAGATAAGTGATGATTGATTAAAGTATGTAGAAAGGATAATTAGTAATGGATGTGTGATGTGAAAGGGAGTAAGATTTATTTGTAATGATTAAGGAATATAAGAAGAATATATTAAAACTTGTTAAGCGACTAAGGAAGATATATCACTATAAATATAATAGAAAAAAAATAATAACCAATATTCCAGTGCTTTTTCAAGAACCCAAGCACGGTTACTACCGAGAGATATAGCAGTATCAATCTGATATTACTTAAAAACTTAATGCAAGTATCAGATTATCTATAATCAATAGTAAACAATATTAGAAGTTGTTTACAATATGCAAATAAATTGATGTACAGAAATCTATAGAAAGATGAAAAACCAACTGCAATATCTATTTTTAAACATCATATATCCATCCCTGATTGTGCCGTCATGTTTGGGATTCCACCCAAAACAGTTTTTAGTAGTGTAAATCAGCCAGACAAAGCGACCTATTAGCAACTTCCTCTGAATGTCACCAGGACATTTTGCTAGAAACATAGAGACATTTTATTTACAGGATCCAATTCTGTATATGGCGAATCACAGAATCTGTGTAAAACTTATTAGTTTTGACTAACAAATAGTAATTCTCTCAAGAGACTACTCTACTCAATTCATTTCCCATACCCACCAGTTCGTACATATATCCATCAGTTCAGTAGCTTTAAAACGATTGAATTACGCCGAAATATAGCGGCGGCGATAACAAGCCTAATGGTATAATTTGTGAATTCCGCGCGTAAAATGAATTCCCATTAAAATGGCAAATCCTTCTTTGTTGATGAGATGGTCATCAGTCCAAAAACTTAATCCCATAGTTTATTCAAATTTCTTGGATGTATATATATATATATATATATATATATATATATATATATATATATATATATATATATATAT